GGTGGTCCAACAGAATGCAGAAATTATTGAACAATATCATTAATATCACATGCAAGTAAAATTTTGCTAAAGATAATTCAAAAATGTTTGCAGCAGTATATTGGCAGGGAACTGCCAGAAATTAAACCAAATTCCAAAGAGTGAATGGAACAAGGGGTATCATTGCTGATGTCAGATGGATGTTGGCTGAAAGCAAAGGATACCAATAAGATGTTTACCTGTGTTTCGTTGACTTTGCACAGGCATTTGACTGTTGGATCATGACAAAATCTGAATAACATGGCAAAGTATGGGAATTCCAGAACATTTAATTGTGCTCATCAGGAACCTATATATAGACCAAGAGGCAGTCATTCAAATAAGGGGATTCTGCATGGTTTAAAATCAGGAGGGGTATGCTTCTGGACTGTATCTTTTCACTGAATTTATTCAATCTGCATGCTGAACAAATCATCCAAGAAGCTGGATGGTATGAGGAAGAATGCAGCATCAAGATTGGAGGAAGAATCATTAATGAACTGTAAAGTGCAGATGATACAACCTTGCTTATTGAAAGCAAAGGAGACTGAAGCACTTACTGATGAAAATTAAAGACTACAGCCTTCAGTATGGATTACTGATTGTAAAGAAAACAGAAATCCTCACAACTGGACCAATAAGAAACATCATGATAAAGGGAGAAAAGATTGAAGTTGTCAAGGATTTCATTTTACTTGGATGCACTGTGCATGGATGCAGCAATCAAGAAATCAAGCGACAAATCATTGGGCAGATCTGATGCAGAAAACCTCTTTAAAGCATTTAAGAGTGAAGATGTCACTTTGAAGACTAAGGCATGCCTGACAAGCCATGATATTTTCAGTAGCCTCATATGCATATCAGAGCTGTACAATGAATAAGGAATACCAGAGAAGAATTGATGTATTTGAATTGTGGTTTTGGCAAAGAATATTGAATATTGAATTTGGCTGCTAACTGAAAAAAAAAAAAAAATATATATATATCTAACCCACTGCCATCAAGTCAATTCCAACTCATAGCGACCCCATTGAGTTTTCAAGGCTGTAAATCTTTACAGAAGTAGATCGCCTCATCTTCTTCCCATGGAGCAGCTGGTGGGTTTGAACCACTGGCCTTCTGGTTAGCAGCCATATGGCATACCCACTGTACCACCAGAGCTCCTTAAGCCAAACCAAACTCACCACTGTTGAATCGATTTGACTCATAGAGACCCCTCCTTGGGTTTCCAAGGTGGTATTTCTACAGAAATAGATTGCCCAGTCTACCTTCCAAGTGGCTGGTGGGTTTGAGCTGCCAGTGTTCTGGTTAGGCACTATGCTACCAGAGCTCCTTAGGGTCTGTTGAAAGAGCAAATAACTCTGTCCTGGAGGAAGTACCGCCATAATGCTCCTTAGAAGTGTGAACGGCCAAACTGTCTCTTGTACTTTAGTCATGAGGTCAGAAGGGACCAGTCCCTGGAGAAGGATATCATGCTAGGTAAAGTCAGTGAGAAAGGGGAAGATCTTCAGTGAAATGGATTGCCTCAGTGGCTGTGAGATAGGCTCAAGCATGGGAAAGATTGTGAGGATGAAAGGACCAGGCAGTGTTTTGTCCTGTTGTACATAGAGTTGCTATGAGTTGAAATGGACTGCACAGCACTAAACAACAACAGCAACAACAAAGTCCTATGTGTGGCCAAGGGGCAGTTGTTTGGGAGGGATGTTCCTAGAGCTTGCTTGTGGGGGCTGGGTCTGTTACCTGTGCATTAGGCCATTTGGGGTACAGGGTTGAATGGATGTCTGAAAATAAAGGGGGCTAGGATCGCCATTTGTACTCCTGCCCCAGCCCTGCAACAGTGGGGGGTCAGACATGCCCAGAGGAACCTCTCCCTTCTGATGCTTATTTTGTGGTTAAAAAGCCCTCAGAGCATAGGAGGCTCAACACAGAGCCCAATTAATCTTTGAAAATAATTCTTAAAGAGTACGGTGGGAGGATGGAGTAGGAGAAAGATGTAGCAGTCTGTTTCCATAAAGATTTACAGTCTCAGATACTCTATGGGGAAGTTCTACTCTGTCCCATAGGGTCACTATGAGTTGGAAGTGACTTGATGGCAGAGGGTTTGGTTTGGGGAGGTGAAGTGGGTGAATTTCCTGAAGGGAGGCTCTGTGAGCCTCTATGTCTCCTCTCAGTAGGCAGTGCTGCTGATGCTTTGTGGAAAGGAGGGAAGATTTTGCTGACACCCTGCAGTTTTCTGAAAGAAGGCTAAGGGTTCCCTTATCTCTCTGCACAAGGCACATCTGCCTGCTCACAGGCTGTCTGCTTCTTAGGGATTCCTTCGTCCTTATTCTGTTTCTTTTCTGAAGGTTTTAAGGCACAGTTTGGTGCATTCCTTTTTGTTTTGTAGAGCCCAGGGGACAGTCATAATCCATTAGGGCTCTTGCTGAAGAGCTTAAAATGGGCGCTGGCAGCTGGAATGTGGGGGAAGAGGGCTTTCCACGGACAAGTGACCTGCTTGTTCAGCCAATGAGAAGCAGGTTAGAGGAATGATATCATCAGACAGGCTTTATTGTCTGATCATTTTATAAAAGCAGGACTGTGTTTGTCAACTTAACCCTTTTTTAGGTATTTCAGGTCTCACCCACTCCCTGGTATGTGAGCTCCAGATTCCTTTTCCCAGCTATCTGGTATGAGACCACAGAAATTAAAGACTTGAAATTGATGAAGAAATTAGAAGACTTGTAAACTATCATTTAAAAACAAATAATTAAAATTTAGAACCACATCTGAATGGAAATGTGATCTTCGCTGGGTTTGGTGAGCACAGCTAAAGCAGATACCAGTTTGAGTCACGTTCTACCAGATTTTACTATATAGTCATGAGTGGAAAGGAAGGCTAGGGGAAAAAAATAGCCTTTAGTATCTTTTAATCCATATAAAGGAGCCTTTCTATTTCCTGAAATCTAGAAAAGATCACTAAGTCTGAGGCCAGTTTTGAATAAGAGATATTATAGTGTTCATTTATACTTGAACAACTTTATTGTCCCTTTCCCATAAAAATAACAACCGTTTTATCTCTTCATGCTTCTTGGTAAAATGAGGGTGATGCTCCTACCCTATCCTATAAGTTATTTAGATAAGAGAATAAATTAAGTCACGTGACTTTAGATTGTGCTACGTAAATGTGTTATTACTAGGGCATTCATGTTTTAAAATTGTATGTTCATTCATTCATTCAGCAGATGCTGTGCACAAGAACTACAGAAATTAAAGAAATTTAAAAAACATCATGAGGGAGACAGACAGTGAACATCTCATACTTACATTGCGTTTGCCATGTGCCAGCCCTGTTCTAAGTACCTTGACATGTATTAACTTAATCTCTTCCTGAAACCCTATGAAACAGGTACTATAGTTAGCCACATTTTACAGATAAAGAAACAGAAGCACAGAGAGACTAAGGGACTTGTGGAAGATCACACAGCTGTGGTAGAGTTGGAGTTTAAATCTAGGCAGTGTAGCTCTTTAGAGCCCTGGTAGCACAGTGCTTGGCTGCTGGTCGAAAGGCCAGCAGTTTGAACCCACCAAATGCTCTGCAGTCTGCTTCCATAGAGATTTACAGCTTTGGAAACCCTCTGGGCATATCTGTTCTGTTCAACAGGGTCACTGAGTTGGAACTGACTGGATGGCAGTGAGTTTGATTTGGGTTTTTAGTGTGGCGGCTCTGATTTGGTGCTGACCTGTACAGTAGCCACTAGCTACAGGTAGCTATAGAGCACTTGAAACATGGCTGGGGCAAAGTGAATTGGGCTGTAAGTGTGAAATACATATTAGATGTCAGAGACCTGGTATTAAAAAGTATATATATGTATATATATATATATATATAATATTTCATGTTTAAATTACATGTTATAGTGATGATAATTTGTGGTGGTGTTGTTGTTGTTGTATGCCATCGAGTCGGACCCAACTCATAGCGAACCCTCCTTGGGTTTCCGAGGCAGTATCACTACAGAAGTAGATTGCCCCATCTTCCTTCCGAGGAGTGGCTGGTGGGTTTGAATCGCCAGACTTCTGGTTAGCAGTCAAGTGCCTTAGCCACTATGTTTTACTTAAATCAATATATCTAGATAATAATTACTTAAATCAATATATCTAGATAATAATTTAGATATATTGATTTAAGTAAAATAATTATTAAAATGAATTCACCTGTTTTTCCTTTATTTATTGTGGCTCTTAGGAAATTTTAAATTATGTATGTAGCTTGTAGTTGGAGCTCACATATTTCTATTTGATCTTTGCACTGGTCCAAATCATTACAATCCAAAAATAATACTAACAATTGATGCTTCTGAAGCACTTACTGTGTGTCACATACTGTGCTGGTAGCTTTACAAACAGTATTTCAGTTAGGCTTCAAAAAAAACTCTTTATATTATCCTCATTTATTTACAAGGAGGGAAGGTTTTGAGAAATAATGAGAGATCCTGAATTTGAAACCTTATCTATCTGACTAGAAGCCTACACTCTTAATCTGTCATTCTAATACCATTCTCAATTAAATCACAGAATTTTTTCCTTTGTTTTATTTTAATAATAATATTTAATGTTGCACACATCTGTGTTGGACATGTAGAGGTTTGAAATAAAAATCACTAGGCCATAAAATAGACGTCCTGGAAGGAAATCTCTTCTGCAGAGCCTTGGCCCTCACTGACACAGTTGAGCCCTGAGATGAAGCGATGAGTCAGCCTGTACAAATTGCATTTAATTTTCATTCCAATAGTTCTCCCAGGTCAGTGGGCAATTTATGTCCCAACCCTCTTTGTCTACAGAGAAGGGGAAGAGGAGCAACACAGCTCTCCTTAGTAGTTCAATACTCTTGGTTAATAAAAAGAAAAAAACTGCTTTCCTTTTCATTGTCCTCTGAAATGCTGTTTGTGTTTGAGAGAGCAACAAAATACTATCTAGTGACCCCTGACTTTTCTTTCTTCTAGAGCAAAGACTCAGGCGGACTGAAGGCGGCTATGATAGAGTTGGTGGAAAGGTTAAAATTCAAGAGCTCAGACCCTAAAGTAAGTATTGTTTTGGAAGTTGATTGGGTGTTGATACCCCTCCCCAAGTATTTCATTCTCCTTGAACTAAGTTCCAGGGATGTTAATGATCATTCATCTAAACATTAAGATCTAATTAAGCCTGCCTGTCAAAAACAGCAGAGTCCTAATATGCCTAGAGATAAGTCTTCTATTTTTATGACTTAGAACATCTAATCATTGTTTTCTCTGAACTGCAGACAAGTACATTTTTAATCTTCCTTTACCAGGCCTTTGAGACTTCTGTCCTCTGTGTCCATTAAGTCCAATCAAAAGCATCTGAGATACTGATCACCTTAATGCTGGGGACTAGACCAGGATCCAGACTCATCCAGTTGGTGTCCAGCACTTGCATCTCGTGTCTCTCCCGCTTGTAGGAGCCAGCTGCCACTGAGAATGCTTTTGTCCTCACGACCTGGAGTGTGATCTGGGAAATGGTTTAAACCTTCCAGTTTTTTCTGTTGTTGGGGGCTGGTTGGTTGATATTACGAGAGACACTATACCAGAGTGGCATTGGATTAGAAACTGAACATACCAGAGGGATTATGACCAACACAGACTCCCTTCTTTAACCCAGACACTTGGTGTGATGCTACCTGCTATTGGTGTCAGCTGCTTCTGCCTGAGACACAAACTCTCTCACAATTAAATTGGGAAAGGAACATGACTTGGTTTTATTTTTTGTATCTCCTTTTCTTCTTTTTTCTTCCTCTATCTTTAAAAGTTCTTTATAAAGGGAATGGGACTAGCATTTTTTGAGCACCTGTTGAGAGTCAGGCACTATGGTAGAGCCTTACATTCTTTTTATCACTGTAATAGCCCTGTAAAGTCAAGTTTATTTTTTACTTTTTATTTGATAATGACATTGAAGCTCTGAGAAGTAGAGTCATTTGCCTCAAATCTGGGATATGTTAGAGTTGGAATTCCCATTCAGGCTCCAGTGCCTGTGCTCATGTCATGCCATAGACCAAGTACTTGGCTTCATCACCTTTCTACCATATAATCACATTATGCCTTAATTTTCTAAGCTGAAACACTGTATGAGGCTGAGCCACAGACAGTGACAGATTTTCAAAAGGTGATTGCTGCCACCAATCTACAGAATAATTTTATTTTCAGATAGCATTGAAACTACTGGGGAATTGATGATCTCTTTTGTCTTCTGGGGTAGTTAACGGTCTAGAACTACAGAATATCTTGATATATACAAAGATATTGGGTATCCTTTATCAACTATCTTAGCTTAAAAGTAGGAAGACCCTTGATATAAGTAGTTTTTCCTTTAGTGCAGATGAACCAATTAATTATTAAAGGTTACTGAAAGCGTTTTTTTTTTTTTTTTCTTTTAACCAAGTTTCTCTGGTTTCTGGGACAACAGTTATACTGAGGGAGACAACTGCATTTTCTGTTTCTGCCACACCCACATGTGGCACACCCACAGCAGGGTAGTGAAGAGTGAGAGGATATGTGCAAATCAGACTGAGTGGCCTCTTTGTATGATGATAATACAGGTAAAATGCTTTGGGATCCTTTGTGATGCTTGAAGTGCTTCTGATGGGAATCTTGCCAGAGGTGAACGAATTGAGTAGTCCCATGAGAGCAGCCCATGGAAGCATTAGGGTTTTCCTGTGATGTATCTTAAGCTAAAGGATGTTTGTAAGGGCCTGACTTGATCTTAGATACATGTGTACAGACTCACGTTTCTTCTACATTCTCTTTATCTTGGATCACTGGTCACCAACTGATTTTATTTCCAAGTCCCTTCCTGGACTACCATGTTCATATGCTGTGTATACTTAAAGCCAGCTTGAAGAAGGGAGAATGTAATTACAAAGTGACTGCCAGGTCAAGAAATAGGATGAAAAATGGACCAATTAATAGATAATTTCTGCAACAGAAAAAATTTTCCCAGAAATAAATTAGTGTCTCCCAAGAGAACCCCACAGGGTTCTAGTTTGTTCTGTTTTCCCTCAGCACCCAGAATCCCCCTTTTTTAAGTTGGCCTATTTAAGAATGGCAGAATCTCTCAGGCTTTATAACCTGTCAGTTCTTGGCATAGTGGCTTTACATAGACATGCTGATTGAGTCATGGAGGACTGAGCACTATCTCTGCCTCACTTCCTCTAGAATTCCCTAAAGTATCACAAAGCTTGATTAGTCCAGACATTGAAGTCTGCTGGGGCCTCAGTTAATTTTTGCTTCTGAGTTTTGCCAGAGAGGAGTGGAATATGCCTAGATGAGCCATTTAAAAAAATTATAAAATAATAATATAGATTAAAAAATAAAAATACTCATAGAGGAAAAGTGAACCTATTTCCCCAAAATTAACCACTATTAATATCTTGCAGTGTAACCTTCTAGATAGTTTTCCATATGGAGATATATATTTTTTTAATTTTCTACAAAAATTATACTGTACCTGAGGTTTTACAATTGCTTATTTCATTACACAGAATATCCTAGACATTGTTCTGTGTCAATAATAGAGACTTAATTTTCTTAATGTTATGCCTTATTTTGTCCAAAACATTGGTCAGACACTGTCCTTTCTTCTAGACCAGTGGTTCTTAAACTTTAGCGTGTATGAAAATCATCCAGAAGATTTATTAAAATATATAGTGCTGGACCCACCCCCAGAGTTTCTGATTCATTAGGTCTGGGTGACTGGAGAATTCCTATTTCTAACAAGTTCTCAGGGGATGCAGATGCTGGTCCATTTGGTTGAACCATTGTTCTGGGTTTTGTTTATTTTCCCTGACTCTTGCTTTGATTTTTTTTTTTTTTTCTCCCCATTACTTTCAGCCAGAAGAGCCCTGGAAATAAGTCCAGATATTTTCAACTCTGAAAAGAAATGAAATAAATAAAAACCCAGGCAAACGAAACAGATAAATTGAGCAGAGGTGGCAAAGGCATAAGGGAAGGGGATGAGAGGAGGGTTGGGAGTCTAAGCTCAGGCTGCCTAAGAGGACAAGATTGCTTTAAGCCATCACTTATGAAAGAGAAATAGCAAAGCCAAAAAGAGGGAAAGAGTTCCTAGTTGAGGGTTGAGGAGAATGCCCACAACCCAGGTCATGGTCCTAGCGTGTACCCTGAGTCTTAAAGCCAGTGTAACAGCAGGAGTCATCAAATTCCAGCCACTAGGGGTAAGCCTGGGGACAGGAATCCGAGCCAGTGACATTTGGTAACCAAGGTGCAGGACCAGGCAAAGCTGTAAGCGCTGCGTGTTACTGTGGCAAGCCCTTTTTTAAAGATAAATACTTCTATGGTTCTAGAATCCTGGATTACAGTGGACAAAATTATTTGCAAAAATAAGCAACTTTTAGGTACAAAAAGGATTAATAGGAAGTGGTCTTTCAATAATAAGCCATCCTAATGTGTTTGACATGATTCAGGTTGTGGGAAAAAAAAAAAAAAAAATTCAGCCAAATTTTTCAGAAACATTTATTGTACAAAGCAGGATTTTTGCCCATGGATTTCTTACAGTTGTAGTAGGCTTTAGGGAAATAAAGATGTAGTTAAGCACATGCATGCTTGTGTGTGTGTGTATGTGTGTGTGTATTTTTAGGAAATTTAAGGTACTTTGAGGTCTTTATTGTCACATATTTCCTTTGTAGTGACTATGCAGTTGTCTTCCATAGTTTATCCAGAGGGCACTTAGACTTGGAAAACACATTGATTCCCTTCCCTCCCTTCCCCCTACCCAGTCCTTCAGAAAGCATTGAACCAAAAGCATAACATGCTAAGCTCAATCAAACTAACCTTTTATTATGCAGTTAATAACAGCCACTTTCTATATTATGTATTGATTGCTTTTCTATCCTTCTAAGATGCGATGTTCATTGTTTCCTATAACTAATGTGCTTGAAGCAAACAGTTAAAAACACAGTTATGTATCTCAAATTCATGTTAATCTTATAAGAAGTTATTTTCAAAAAGAAGCTTTTAAAAACTGGAGCAAAGTGGCTCACATTATTCTGTTTTACTGGGGTGTGATTAAACATGGATCTGCTCATACCAAGACTGCTTGAAATGTACTGGGTTTCTCTCTTTTCTTGTTTTCTCCAGTCTCTGGAGATGTTCTTACCAAAGTATGAAATCAAATAATTGTCTAGCAACCTGAAATTAATTAAATAAATCTGAGAATGGTTTTCTTATTTTATTAAGCATTTATATAGATTTTATAATTGTAAAAGAGCTCCACAGTCATTTTTAATAGCTGGTATCATTGGCATGGAACATAGCCCAGTCTTTCACTCTCCTGTGCTGATCAAACTCTTGTCATAATTGTAGGTTTTGCTTGCACAAATGGTAATGAATATAAGCAAAACCCAGTTTGAATTCTTGTTGTTAGCGGCCTGTGTTCACAAGGATTAAGCCAGGCTTCATTCTGATCTGTGTGCAACCCAAGACAGAGGTATTCACTGGGACGGTGTTTATTCAACCATTTGAAGCAAAAAATTGAGACACCGCAGTTGTTATCAAGTTCCTTCATATAAAAGTGTTTCTTTTGTGGGATTACAGATTATTAGAATTATTGACCTATTTCTTTACTTTTCATTAAAAATTATTTGTAAATAGGGAATTTTGGAGAGTATACATTGTGTTTATTTTATGTCTATGTCTTCATCTCTTAGCATGGTGCCTGGCACATAGTAATACATAGATACTACATACTACTTTTGCAACAGCCCTATGAAAATAAACAGTAATCATTTACGAGTGAGTAAACCAAGACTTAGAGGGATTGAATAGCTTGCTTGTTAAGTGGTAAAACCATGACTTAACTTCAGATTGGTCTTACGCTAAAATCCATCTTCTTCACACCCATACTGTCGTTGAATCTGTGGATAGGTAGATATAAATACATCCTGACATCCCTGGCAACAGGACTTGTCACTGACTATTTTTCCCTTCACTCTTCTCTTGCCTCCCTTTTCATGGACTCCTCTAGCCAGAGCTCTGTACAGCCCAGGAGCTCCAGGAATAGAGAATGGCCTTTTGTAATAGGCCATTGTAAAAATATGAGGATGGTAAAGAAGGCAAACAGCTCCCACAGTAGGGGACAGATGTCCTTCCTGGTTGGGAATTGTATGTGGACTGCTATCCTTGAGGCCCACACAGTCCTGGTGGCACAGCAGTTCAGAGCTCAGCTGCTAACTGAAATATTGATGGGTCAGACTCATCCAGCAGCTCTGCAAGAGAAAGACCTGTGACGATTCCAGCCAAGAAAACCCTATGGGGCAGTTCTACTCTGTCACATGGGGTCACTGTGAGTCAGAATTGACTCAATGGCACCAAGTAGTAATCCTTGAGACCCAGTCCTGGCTAAATGAAGAGCAGAGGAAGTGCAGCAGTTAGAACTGATAGGCAGAGGACACCAAATAAGAAAAGTACCTGTGCCTTCCCACCACTTGTCTGTCACTTGGTCATATTATGGTGGCTT